CTTTTTTTGTTTGACTTTTTGACCTTTTTTTAAGATCTTTTTATAGGAATGCTTTACCCCATGAAATGTGTCATGTGGATGGGTATGCTGGCCGGGTGGGAGAATTAACTTTTACTCATTTAAACCCCCTCCCCCTCAATTCCCCCATGACTGTTTTCAGGGGTAAACCCATGGATTGTACAGAGGAGATTCTTGTGTTTTTTGGCATTTCTCTAGTGCTGTAAGTGCTGTATCATACTGTCCATGTCCTTTTGGGTGAGAGAGGCAGCCCGCCACAGCGCGGTGTACATTTGGAGCAGCCTTGTGTATATTTACTACGAGCACACCTGTAACCATATGTGTATAGTTAACAGAACCTGTGTATGCTTATTGCCTGGGCAACTATTTTTTGTAACTCCTGTTGTAGATTGTCTCTAAACAATTGTGTGATCTTTATTTTGAAACCAAACTGAACAAAAAAAATCTTTGAAAATTGAACTGTCTCAAGCGTGCTTCATTGTATGTTTGATGCTCTCTCCGGTGATGAAGGGAAATGAATGTTAAGTATTTTAATTTTCTAATAGAAGAAAAACTGGATGTGTGCCACAGAGTCTGTTCCACTCGTCTGAATGAATGTGTCTGCAGTGATGCGACTGCACAGCGTGAGTCACAGAGGGGACCAGGGAGCCTGCTCCTGATGCTCCACTTTCTCCATAAATGTGGCTGATTAATGAGGCTGGCACCTTAATGTGGCACGGCTCGAACTGACAACCAGCTATGCTGAGCAGGGCTGACTGCACCGGCTAAAGAATAATTTAAGTCATGTGTACCGATGACAATGTGGCTATTATTTTGACTCCTTGGACTGATGATCCAGATAATTATATGATCACGATCGGAAGAGCAATAGTGAAAAGTTTCTGGGGTGAAAAGTAAATCCATGACTGCTCCCATTCAGTAGCCTAATATACTGATTTTGACAGGAGCAACGAACGCGCCGAGTGTGACGGGAGATTATCAGGCTGCACTGCAGTGTTTAGCAGGTGTCTGTCAAAATATCCCTCTTGTGATCTTCCAGTTGCATCATTTCAGCAGACTCAAAGACAAACCTGTTCTTGCCTGTCCGACTTTTGTCTGCCGGGCCCGAGCGGATGCTGCCAGGATGTTGCTTTGAAAATAAGTCGAGTTGGGTGTGATGCTGGTGGCGTTAATGCCACGGCTTTGTGGATTTCTTAAAAGAGACTATAACAAAAGCCCAAGAAGAGAAGTGAGGGTGCATTACCTGCAGTGTTCCTAAACCATATGAAAGGTGCTTTAAGCTGAGGCTGTGGGGAAGACCGTTTGGGATAAAAGGGAGCAGCTCCTTCAGGACTCTGACACTAAAGTGTTGGGAAATACACTCAAAAAGTACAAGGCTTTAAGGTGGACCCTGTATTACTGTTTATCTTGTCTACTTGTCTTACAGGTGTGCCCTGTGCCAAATTTACAAAGATGTACATTCCCTACATTTTTTAAAAACCATATTAACCCTATTCAGGACTTTCATGTTGTCATACGTAGAAGGTCTGTCATTGGACCCCAAGTAAGAATACATGCAAAATAATTGTTGGTATTCATTATAGACTTTTATCCTATGTTAAATACATTTTTTTGATAAGTTGATGTATTTTTGTTTCCAAATGCATGACATATGTTCCTCTTTTTATATTTGAAAAACATCTTCAAAAATAAAAAACAATACCTGTCACCTAAACCAAATGGCCTGGGGTCCAAAAGACCATAAGGGTCCTGAATAGGGTTAAAGGGGTCAATGAGGCAGCTCTGGCCTGCTCTTTAAACTTCCTTTAAAGTGTGCCATCTCCACTTTTTTAATCATGTAAAACAGTTAAAATCACAACACTGCAGCTTCCGATTCTGTTGCCCTTATTCAGCTTATTTATTCTCACTTTAAACGAAATGAGAAATCATTTTCAAGTGTAATATGATGTCAGAGACACCGATGCACCTTCACGTTTGCCGAAGACACCCAGACTAGGTCCCACCTGTTCCTTCCATCGCAGCTCATCATCATCTGATTAATTACAATAAATCCCAAAATAATTACTCATCAGCTCATTAGGCAGACGAAAAGATTTACGTCACCTCAATAAATTATAAAATTCTGAGAATGTCATTTGCAATCAATACTAAAATAGCTCTAACGTCACGTGTAAACTTGTCAGTGGTTTTATCAAACAGCAGCACACATAGCAAAGAAAGTTTTTTAAAAATATGTCTTAAAATGTCTTGTAAGGCATTTTTGATCACACTTATTGTAGATATAGCCTGTTAAATGACTTAGTGCACAGTTATGGATGACATAGACAGTCATACGTCCATCATGCTGGCAAGTGATGTCCAAAAATGGCCCTGTGGATACATACCATGAGAACAATGAGGACACACTTCATAGTGATACAGGCTCAACCTGTCAATCACAAATTCACCGAAAACTTATCCTACTTTTTTGGCTGTTTTATTCAAAATGAGACCATAATTGACAAGATTAACACCATGTTGCATTCAAAAAGTCTTTAAAGTAGCCAATAAGATCACAAACTTATGAGGAAAATGTTGGCTAAGGTAACAAATAGAGCAGATGTGGCTAAGGTGGAAGAGCGGGTTGTCCTCCAATCAAGTTTGGTGGTTCGATCCCCCGCCCCTCCACAGTTGAAATGTCCTTGAGCAAAGACACTGAACCCAAAGTTGCTCCCAATGGCATGGCAGCGCCTTGCATGGCAGCTCTGTCACCATTGGTGTATGAATGTGTGTGTGAATGGGTGAATGAGAAACACATTGTAAAGCGCTTTGGATAAATATATAAGTGCAGAACATTTGCCATTTACAAATGAATGCCATTTTAAAGAATGCAGGTTTGCTCCATTGGTCCCTTGTAGGCCAGGGCGATAAAATCATAGTGACGTGTATCTGCAATAGACATTTCATCAACATAAGAAGAAAACTGTTTTACAGAATGTTCAATAGCTTCACTTGAACGCAACGGATGAAAACCACCATGAAAATCCATGACATGTTTGGTTGCATGAACAAACCCAAGTGTGCTCCCTCCCTGGTTCATAAACAGTCTGTTGTATTCCTTGAGCCCCTTCGCCCTCCATCGCTCTCCTCCTTGGCTTCCGTGCAGGTCTTCCAAGGCGTGCTACTCTGTGGCTTGTTGCCCTTGTCAGTGCCTGCAGACCTCTATTGGTGGAGGCAACAGCAGCCAGCAGGGAGCAGTGGTTTCATTTGAGCGACAGGCCTTGCAGCCAAAAAGCATGATCCTGTGTGCCCCACCAAGTGGTGATGTAAGCAAAGGAGTTTAGACAGAGCGAAGAGTGGATTCTTTAAAAAAGCTGAACTGTTGAGCTCAAAGCAAGCCCTGCTCAGAATGCAAAGAGACATCAACCATAAGTTTGTTAGGGTTGTGATATTTCTTTGA